GTTGTTTTTTGTTTTTTCCGGTACCGGGAATCAAACTCACGACTTTGCACTTGCCAGGCAGGTGCTGTGCTGCTGAGCTAAATCCCCAGCCCCTATTTTTTTTTTTGTTCGTTTTTTTCTGGTACTGAGAATCGAACTCACAGCCTTGCGCTTGCCAGGCAGGTGCTGTGCCGCTGAGCTAAATCCCCAGCCTCTATATGTAAATTTTATATCAAAAGAAAAAAACTAAAAGTAATGATAGTCATGTTGAAGTATTTCCAGGAAGTGTATTGATATCTTTAATTTACTCTGAAAAAAACACTAAAAACCTACCATAAGGTCTGGGGATATAGCTCAGCGGTACAAGTGCCTGCCTAGCAGGCACAAGGTCCTGAGTTCCATTCCCAGGACCAAAAAACAAAACAAAGCAAAACAAAAACCTACAATAAATTAATGGGGGGGATAAAGAGATAAGACAGGTGGCTGGACAATAAAGCAAGTAATAGTAAAATGTTAACGGCAGTATCCAGGTGGTGAATATGTGGGAATTCACTGTGAAATTCTTGCAACTCTTATATTTGAGAATCACTTGTAATGAAATGTTGGGGGGAAATGTTATATGTGGTCTACTTTGAAGAAATACTAATAGATCTTATTAGTTACAATGGTTTTAGGATTATAGAGAAATTGCAACAATAATACAGAAAAAGCCCCCCCACCCCCCAGTTCCCATACACTCCATATCCAGTGTCCTCTACTATTATTTGAGAATTTTTTTTTTCGGTACCGGGAATCAAACTCACGACCTCACACTTGCCAGGTAGGCACTGTGCCACTGAGCTAAATCCCCAGCCGCTCTACTATTATTATTATTTCCACTATCATTCTATTATTATCCATATTGCACTAGCACAGTAAATTTGTTATAATTTATAAACCAATACTCATACATTATTATCAAGCCCACATTTTATTTAGATTTCTTTACTTTTCATCTAATTTCCTTTTTCTGCACCAGGATCCCATCTAGGATACCACACTGCATTTAATTTTCCCATGGTGACAATTTTTCATAGTTTCAGTCTTGAGAATTTATCCTACGGTGTAATTAAAAATCTATATCCACCAGCTAGGATGTAGCACAGTCGTACAGCACTCGCCTACTATGTTTGAGGCACTGGGTACAATCCCTAGTATCCTTGAGAAGGGTGTGGTGGTTTTTACCTGTAATCCCAGCACAGGGAGCCTGAAATAGGCAGATTGCAAATTCTAGTTATGCCTGGGCAAGACCCTGTCTCAACACAAAAAATAAAAAGGACTGGGGATGTAGTTCAATAGTGAGACTCCCCTGGGCTCAATCCTAGCACTAAAAAAAAAAAAAAAAAAGTGAAACATGAAGCAAACTCAGATAGCATTGTACAAATTGTGAATTGTTCAGTATCAAGTGAACACTGGCTTGATGTCATTTACCATTAAAGTGGATATGCCGCTGGGTGCGGAGGTGCACGCTTGTAATCTCAGTCACTCAGGAAGCTGCGGCAGCAGGATTACAAATTCGAGGCTGGCCTGGGCAATTTAGTAAAACCTTGTCTCAAAAAGGGCTGGGGATGTAGCTCATTCCTCCCTGGGTTCAATCCTCAGAATGGTGGAGGTTGTGGGTATGCATGCAGACTACATAGAATGGAAAAATGCCCATAAAATACATAATGTTAAGTCACAAAATCGGAACACCAAATTCTACATTAACATGGAGTGCAACTATGTAAAAGAAACATCTAAATCAAGATTAAAAATAGATCAGACAGATGAATCTTGAAAATATTTTGCTAAATGAAAGAAGCCAGTCACAAAGTTATGGCCTATCATATAACTCTATTTATATCACCTATACAGAATAGGCCAATCTAAAGACACAGAAAGTAGATTCAGGCTTAGGGAGTAGGGACTTAAAGGGTGATATCTAAGTAGTGAGGGGCTGTAGGAATATTTGCAGAATATGTGAGCACAGAATAGCCAGTGAATTATAGAATTTGAGTGAGTAAACTGTCTAGTTTGTGAATTATATCTTGATAAAGCTGTTAAAAAGAGATACAGACAAATAATCTAGAAGGGTTCCCAACAGCCAACTCTGGAATGAATTGAACAATATAATACTATAATTCAAAATATGCAATATATACATGGCTGTATACTGATATAGATATATGATTAAATAAATAAATAAGACAGAAGACTCCCAAATTCTGTAGACTGTGCTCATATAACAACTGAATTCACCAACCCAGAATGAGAGGACAATGTTTCCACAGAGCTTAGTAGGTGTCAGGTACCGTTTCGAAAGCTTTATCTACTTCTTTTAGTCCTCCTAACAGCCCCATGAGCTGGCCTGTTTCTTCTTCACTTTATAGATGTGAAAACATACCTGACAAAGGTCACTCAGTAAAATGGTGGAGGAAGGACCCAGCTTCAGTTTGTCCGGCTTTGGCACATGTGTTCTCATTTAACGCTATTACCTCTGAGTTCTCCTCAAGCCTAGTAATTCAGGGATGGCTATAACAAGACCATGAATGCACAATTTCACTCCCCATTCACTACTGTAAATTGAGCTCTGACCAGTTGTATTCTACAAAAAGCTTTTACTAGCTGAAATGTATATTTTGGCAGATTCTGTCTTGGCTAGGAATACATCAAAAGGCACAGTTCTGACAAAATAATCACTTCCCTTGATATCAACACGGAGCCTAAAATGCCTAAGAAGTGGGCCAATCTGATAACATGAAAATTTGAGACAGTAAAGCTCAACTGTTACATTTGATGGTATGTTTTATATTTGTGGTTAAATCTAATATGTCCAAAGTTCTTCCCCCCCCCCCCCCCCC